TTTTTCCAGTTGCAGCGAGAGGGGGCTACTCTTTGTTGTGGTGCGTGGGCCTCTCATTGTGGTGGCTTCTCTTGTTGCAGAGCACAGGATCTAGGCGACCGGGCTTCAGTAGTTGTGGCACACGGGCTTAGTTGTTCTGCGGCATGTGGGATCCTCCCAGACCAGGGCTTGAACCCGTGTCCCCTGCATTGGCAGGAGGATTCTTAACCACTGCACCACCAGGGAAGCCCTTCATTTCCTTTGGACCTCTGCTCTATTTTGACTTTCGACCTCTATGAGAGCAGGGCAACATCTGATTCATTCTTTACCTCCAAGACCCTCCAAGACCTCCAATGCACCTGGAAGGTAGTGGTTACTCAAAGAACATTCGAAGCATGGTGAATGGGAGAAAGATGGGCGGGGTGGCGGGTGTGGAGGAAGAAGCATGGATAGATCTCACCCTACAGAGGGTGCCAGCTCATGCCCTACAAGGAACAGAGGTGATGGAATGAATGGTTTTGTTAAAGGAAAAGAAAAAGCATTCTACTGTCCTTCCCCATCTAACCAGCTCCCATTCCAGCTGAGCTGGCACTGCTGAGTTGCAGAGATGAATTAACGCTGCAGTGCTTCCCTGAGCCAGCACACCCTGCAGCTAGAGCCTCTGACAGCCCCATGCACTCTGAAAAATTATTTCCCTAGGGAGCAAAGGAGCCAGAGCACGTGGGTCAAAGTCAGGCGGCATGAGCTGTGGTCCAAAAAAAAAACAGTCTGGGCATGGCCAGAGAAACAGGTTTTATTTTGCAAATTCGTGCTCCACTAAGCATTAAAGGGGCACAAATGTATAGCTGGCTGCCTTTCTTTTTTTAAAAAAATTTACTTTTTAGAAGATTTAGGTTTACAGAAAAGTTGCAAGAATATTACAGAAAATTTCCATACACCTCCCCACACACTCAGCTTCTCCTAAATTAACATTTTACATTAGGCTGATACATTTGTTACAATTAATAGACTGATATTGATACACTGTTGTTAACTGAAGTCCAGAATTTATTCAGATTTCCATAGTCCTTTTCTCCTGATACCCTGTTTCTTTCCTAGGATCCCACCCAAGTTCCCACGTCACATTCAGGCATCATGTCTCCTCAGGCTCCTCTGGGCTGTGACAGTTTCTCAGACTTTCCTTGTTCTCGATGCTCTTGACGGGTTTGAGGAGGACTGTGGCCAGAGATTTTGTAGAATCTCCCTCAGTAGGAACTTGTCTGGTGTTTTTCTCATGGTTACACTGGGACGCTGGGTGCTGGGAGGAGGACCACCTGTGAAGGGCCGTCTCATCCTTCATCTCAGGGTGGCTGCCATCAACATGACTCATCTCTGCTGGTGTTGACCTCAGTCCCCTGGCTGAGTTCATGCTGGTTGGGTGTCTCCACTGTAAAGTCACACCTCCCCCATTCCCATACTGTCCTCTTTGGAAGGAAGTCACTGTGCCCAGCCCACACTTACAGAGAAGAGTGTTACTTTCCATCTCCTTGAGGGCAGAATATCTACAGACATTATATGAAATTCTTCTCTGCAGGAAAAATTTGTCTCTTCTCCCTGTATTTATTTATTCAATCATTTATTTATATCTGTATGGACTCATGGACATTTTATTTTAAACACTGGCTCACAATCCAATATTTCATGATATATTTTGTTGGTCAGACCAGTCCAGCATTGGCCACAGAGAGCTCTTTCTGTTGTCTGCTATGTCCATTGGACAACTTCTGGCTGTGTTAATAGCAACAATTCATCGGAGACAAAACCCTGCGGGGTCAGCCCATGAAGAATGCTGCTTATATTCCAAATATAATATAGATGAGACCCTTCTTCTCACTGGGCCTCAGCTTTCCCCGTCCCCACCCCCCCAAAAAAAGGCTTAATATTTATTAGATGATCCAATGGGAGCCCTCCAGCGCTGATTGTTTATGATTTTCTGTGCTCGCGAGCAGATGTATTTTGTTCCAACGGTTTCTCAAAGCTAAACAGATTTTGTTGGTGTCATTTTGTCTGAACTCCACGCTCCTGTGGCTGGACTTGTGGGGCCTGGTGGCTGATGTCCGCTCCCGGCTGGGTCTGCAGGCCACTCTCGGAAGAGACGGGGATGGACTTGCTTGGCAGTGCCACAGAAGACACATCCTGTAAGTTTCCATGCATGCAGAAATGGGCACATGGTCTGGGCTGTGCCCAGCACTATGACTGTAGAAATGTCAGAGGTCATGCCTCCTGGGTGGAATGTCAGGAAAGGGGGTTGCTCTGCTCCAAGTCCTGCAGGGAAAGCAGTGTGGTTGTGGGCCAGAGACGTGTGTGGGCACCATCATGAAGTCAGTTGCTGTGTGTCCTTGAACTAGTTGCTTAGCTTCTCTGTGCCTCCAATTCCTCATCTACTAAATACAGGTAGTGAGCCTCCCACAGAAGGGGCATGCAAGGATTAAACAAGATGATTCCTGTAAAGTGCCCAGGGGATGCCAGGCACAAAGTCAGCCCTGGGAGGGCTTTGCTGCCCTGAGCACTCAGGAGGGCTCATGGCTCTGAGGATCCAAAGCTCCAGACTTTGAGGACAGGGGGTCTGGGGCAGCCAGAGAAGCTGCCTCAAACATGTGTTCTCCTCGATGACATCTCCTGGCAGAGTTCTGCTGAGGGTCCCCGCTCTGCCTGCATTTCCCCCATGCAGCCCATCACAGAGCCCACCCTACAGGGGAAAGACTGCCCAGAGAGGGACAGCCACATCCCTGAGGTCACACAGCAGTGAGAGCCATCTCTGCCTGCCCCTGTACCACACTATGCCCATGAGCCAGGTAGGGGGACCAATTTGTTCCAGGTTTCTGGGGCCAATCTGGGTAGTTGGTCACCCTGGAATACCAGCCCTTCTTCCTGCCTGAGCACATGGGCTCTGCCTGGTGTTGTCACATTCCCACAGGGTAACCTTGGGCAAATCCTTTCACCCCTCTGGGCCTCCATTTCCTACTTCTGTAAAACGAGGAGTGTGTAGTAACAGTACCCGACTTCCTAGGTGTCACTGGCTGAATGATGACCCCCAAAGATATCCAGATTCTAATTCCAGGAACCCCTGAATGTTCCCTCACATGGCAAAAGGGATTTTGCAGATAGGATTAAGTTAAGGAACTTGAGATGGGGAGATGTGATCATTAATTTTATGTATTCACTTGCCTGGCCCATGGTACCCAGCTATGTGGTCAAACATAATTCTAGATGTTTCTGTTGAGGGTGTTTTTTTAGATGGGACTTACATTTAAATTCATGGACTTTGAGTAAGGCAGATTGCCTTCCATTGTGTGGGTGGGCCGTGTCTAATCAGTCGAAGGGCTCAGGAGGCAGGAGGGAAAAAAAACCTCAGGTGTGATTCATCCCGGGGCAAAATTCCTCTCCAGCTGTGGACCTATGAAATCAGGCGATGTCTCTGCTTCCAAAACGCGATGGCGGGATGAACATAGAATAGATATTCTCATTCCAAATGGGAGAAATTGGAAGGAAGAAAGGGGTCACGGGTCCCAGCAAGTCTGAAACTTGTTCCAATAGGTTTTAAGCCTGGAGAACCATCTTCTTTGGCTCAATGCCCTATCCTCCAGGTCCATGTGGTGGCATACTGCCGCCGTGCTTCCTTGTACCTTTAGTCTTACTGCCACCATGCTGTGACCCACAGCTTGACCCCATCAGGAAGAGTAGCAGTATTTTAAATCAAGCACTCCTGATTCACTGCTCCTAACACACTTCCCGTGAAAAAGGCAGAGTGAGTTGAGAAGCCTGGGGTCGGATCCCTGGGCAAGTCTCTGCCTCTATGTCCGCATCTGTAAAATGGGTAACACTTCCCACCACACAAGGTCATGGTGAGAGCTAGAAATCATGCCAGTGCCCCGCACATAGCAGGCACTTGATAAATGTGACTGCTGTGTTTTGATCATTTTCTGCCAAAGCGAATGTTTCTATCCCAGTGTCTCCTGAAGCAGTTACCTCTGACCTGCTTAGGGACCGAGAGATTCAAAGTGAAAAAAAGTGAGATTCAAACTGAAAAAAAAAAATGTGGTCCATTTAATTATGGATCAGTGGGGGCTTCTTTGGTGGCGCAGTGGTTAAGAATCCATCTGCCAGTGCAGGGGACACGGGTTCGAGCCCTGGTCTGGAAAGATTCCACATGCCACGGGGCAACTAAGCCCATGTGCCACAACTACTGAGCCTGCGCTCTAGAGCCCGCGAGCAACTACTGAGCCCACATGCCACAACTACTGAAGCCCGCACGCCTAGAGTCCGTGCTCCGCAACAAGAGAAGCCACCGCAATGAGAAGCCCGTGCACCGCAACGAAGAGTAGCCCCCGCTCACCACAACTAGAGAAAGCCCATGCGCAGCAACAAAGACCCAACGCAGCCAAAAATATTAATTAATTAATTAATTTTAAAAAATTATGGATCAATGAATGTCTTCATCCAATAAAAGAGGGGTAGGGGTCTCCTACTAGTTTACTTATTTTGTCCTCAAAGGCCGTGTAATGAAACAGGGTAAACCTGAGGGGCTGGCTCTGCTCCGCGGGCTGTCAGATGGGGGGCAGCCCAGGAGGAGAAACCACCTTTTACAAGGAGACCAGAGTCCAGGCTAAGAGTCTTTAGGAGGAAGCGGTCTAAACCATGGGGAATATCCATCCCGACAGGCTTCAGAGTGACATGGGAGGATCCTGCCCTTCTGTGCCTCAGTTTGCTCATCTGTTAAAGGGGGCAATAGCAAAGTTGGAACGTGAAAACGCAGGGGAGAGCTTTGCAGAGCGTCTGGCTTACATTACACGATCACTAAAAGTTAGTTGTTAGAGTTGAGCGTCACAGAGAGGCCAAAAGCAGAACGTGGACATTCTCTGCCAGCCTTAGCCAGAAGAAACAAGACTCGCAGATATTGGTAGGTCCAGAGCACACCATCTGGAGCCCAGGCTGCCCGGGGTCTAATCCCCACATCATTGTTCAACCTTGACTCGACTCACCTGTGAGTTCCATTTTGCAGATGGTAAAAGTGAGTCAAGCTCAGAGCAACGTGGCACTGCAGGGTCACGGAGCTGGTGAGTAGCGAGGTCAGGCTCTGAACCCAGGTCTGCCCTACGTCCAAGCGTCCGCCCTTGACCTCCACGCTACAGGGTTATATTAACCGCCGCCGTGAAAGGATGTCCTCTGACTTCTAACCACTCCCCTCAACAGGGCGGAGTGGATCTCCACTGGGTTGGGAACAGGAGAGGGGGAAGAAGAAAGAAAACAGCAAAAGTGACTGATCTTGTTTTGCTTTTGTTTTTTTCTGTTTTCCTGTTCCCCCACAGCCCCACCCAACACTCTGAACTTCAACGCGGCTCATCGTAAGCGGAAGACGCTGGTGGCCCCTGAGATCAACATTTCCCTGGACCAGAGTGAGGGCTCCCTGCTGTCCGATGACTTCCTGGACACCCCCGATGACCTGGATATCAACGTGGATGACATCGAGACCCCAGATGAGACCGACTCGCTGGAATTCCTGGGGAATGGCAATGAATTGGAGTGGGAAGGTGAGGTCGCTCGTCGCACCTGCCCAGCCCCCAAATCGGACCCCAGCGCTCCCTTTGGCTTGGGGACCAGCTGACCAGAGCCCCCCTCCTCCATCCCCGTAGGCTCAAGGGGGACAGGTCTTCCAACCTGGGGCTCCCAGGACAGCTCCTGGGACTCCACGCACATTTTCTCATGGACTTGTGGACTTTGCTGGGAGATGTGTCTTTCACCCGATTCTCAAAGGGGACCGAAACCAGAGGAAGGGCCTCCCCCTGATTCCACAGGTGTTTGTGGAGGCGGTCTTGATTGCAGTGTAGGGGGCGGCAGGGAGATCGGGCGGGGCATGTCAGGAATAGACATCGCCTGCCTGCTCGCATGGCCATTGGAAAGCCAGGCTCTGGGTAACAGAAAAAATGTACACAAGATAATTGCACCTGGTCATCGGTGCTGTGAGGGAAACGAGGTGATGGGAGAGGGCAGGGGGTTCTCACTGGGGCAATTCAGCCCCCTGCCCCCAGGGGACACTGGGCCATATTTGGGGACATCTGCGGTTGTCATGACTGGGGGAATCCTGGCATCAAGTAGGTGGGGTCAGGGAGGTGGCTCCACACCTCACAGCGCCTGGGATGGAGGAGGGGCCTCCACAGAGAATGACCGGCCCTCAAAGGTCAAAAGTGCCCAGGCCGAGACTCCTTGAACCAGGCTACCTGGGGGTGGGGAGGCCTCTTTGCAGGGTTGCCAGGACAGGCTTCCCTGGATGGGTGTTATTTGAGCTGACATGCCAAGGCAAGAGCACAGGTCAGAAAGGTGGCGATGGCGGTGGCCATGGGGACGGAAGCAGAGCCACAGCACTTGCTGGGTGGATGTGGAGTATGAAGGGGAAGAGGGTGTTGAACGTGACACCTGGGTGTGGGGTCTGAGCAGCTGGGAAAACGGCCAGGCTATTTTCTGAGGCGGGAAGATCGCAGGATGACGGGTGGGAAAGAGGCAGATATTTCAAACGTGGTTAAGAATCCTGAGAAGCCCAGAGAGGGAAAGAATGTGTGCAAGGTCACACAGCAAGAGACGGGCTCTACCCAGGCCAACCTGACTGAGCACTTTCCTGTGTTCCACGGCTTGGGGAAAGAAAAATTATTATTTAGGCGTGACTTTGGGACTCCCAGGTCCTCCATCTCGCCCAGCAGCCCCAATCTAACACCGCCTGTCAGCAAAGGGTAGGATGAGTGGTTTCACCTCTGGCCTGAGGAGAGAGGAGAGGGCTCCATGGCCACAGGCGGCAAAGGTAGCCCAGAGAGGGAAGCTGGGATGAGGTGTCCGGACTCAGGTGTCCCTTCCGCTCACCTTCCACCCCCCTGCTGCTTCCAGATGACACCCCCGTGGCCGCCGCCAAGAATATGCCTGGGGATAGTGCAGACCTGTTTGGGGATGGCTCGGCCGAGGACGGCAGTGCCGCCAACGGGCGTCTGTGGAGGACAGTGATCATTGGGGAACAGGAACACCGGATTGACCTGCACATGATCCGGCCCTACATGAGGGTGGTGACCCACGGAGGTAAGGCCACACCCCTTGGGCCCCCTCCCGGCTCCAGCAACTGGAGGCCCATCAGTGGTCCTCTCTGGACCTCAGTCTCTTCTTCTGACCCAGGGGGATGTTAAATTAAGCCCTAGTGTCCGGGTGTGCAGGGGTGAAACTCGCAGGGGGGCAAGGCATAGATGTGCCAGATGCACACCAGAGATGTCTACGAGGGTGGCTGGCGTCCCCCACCAAAGGCGGAGACAGGTCAAGCGTTGGCTGGCTTCTCCAGCCAGGCTGCTGTGACTCAGAGCTGTACCCTCTGAGTGTGCGCAGTGGGTGGGAAGGGGCTGGCCAGCGACGAGGGCGCTGCACGGGGCAGAGCAGGGTGCGGCTCAGAGCTGGGAGATGGCTCTACCCATCTCTGCTTGGGGCTGCTCACTCACTGGCCGCCTCTCCCCAGGGTACTACGGGGAAGGTCTCAATGCCATCATCGTCTTTGCCGCCTGCTTCCTCCCAGACAGCAGCTCCCCCGACTACCACTACGTCATGGAGAACCTCTTCCTGTAAGTGGCCCACCGGCTCCGTCCCAGCTGCCCACAGTTCTGAGGGTCCCACCCGGTGGGCAGGACCATGCTGCAAGAACCACGTTGGGTGGGGGGCTCTGCCCGGCACCAGGGAAGGGCTGGGCCGCCAGCAGACCTGCATCTGAGTCCCCTGCTCGCCCGCTGGGCCTCACGGGTGCAACTGTCATCATCCCTAGCAGTTATGGAGCATTTACTACGTGGCAGCCACGAAGTGAAGGGCTTGGTATGTGATAACGAATTCCACCCTCAACAGGACCCTGTGGATTACTGTTGCCTCCCATTCTGTGGCTGCAGAGCCTGAGGCACAGAGAGGTTAAGTCACTTGCCCAAGGACACACAGGTACAGTTTTATTATGATGGAGACAGATAATATGGATAAAGCGCCTGGCAGATGACAGTAGGAACTCAGCAAATTGTTATCACTCTTATTATCATCATTACGAAGATTTCCTTCTTACACAGCGGGGCTTGGATGCCAGGTGGGGCTAGAGGACAAGGAGGTAGCCATGGAAGGTCAGATCGGAAAGTGGCCTGAGATACCAGGGAGCCCAGTCTCCCCAGTCTACAGATGGGGAATTAGAGGCTGAAAAAGAGGAAAGGATTCTTCTGGGACTTCCCTGGTGGTGCAGTGGGTAAGACTCACGCTCCCAATGCAGGGGGCTTGGGTTCGATCCCTGGTCAGGGAACTACAACCCACATGCATGCTGCAACTAAGAGTTTGCATGCCACAACTAAGGAGCCGGCGAGCTGCAACTAAGGAGCCTGCCTGCCACAACTAAGAAAGACCTGGTGCAACCAAATACATAACTAAATATTAAAAAAAAAGAAAAAGGGACTTCCCTGGTGGCACAGGGTTAAGAATCCGCCTGCCAATTCAGGGGACATGGGTTCGAGCCCTGGTCCAGGAAGATCCCACATGCCGCGGAGCAGCTAAGCCCGTGCGCCACAACTACTGAAGCCCGCACACCTAGAGCCCATGCTCCGCAACAAGAGAAGCCACCGCAATGAGAAGCCCGCACACCGCAACAAAGAGTAGCCCCGACTCGACACAACTAGAGAAAGCGCATGCACAGCAACGAAGACCCAACGCAGCCAAAAATAAATATATAAAATTTTTAAAGAATGTTGTTTGAAAAAAAAAGAAAGAATTCTTCTGAAATCATGTAGGGGGAGACAGGGCTGGGACAGACCCCAGGTCCCTAATGTCTGGTGCAATGGACTGTTGGCTGTGGGTGCCTGTTCCCCAGGTGTATCTGGGGCTATTGAAGCCCACCTCCCAGGATTATCGGAGACCATGCATATAAATCACTTAGCATCTAGTAAGTGCTCAATAAAATAGTAACTACTACAATCACTGTGCCCACTGACACAAATTTGGGGTGGGCTGGGGTCATCCCCCACCCTCCGCTCGGGCCGAGTATGCCAGGACAGCCAACAACACCTGAACAGGTGTGGCTGGCAGAGCCAGGGCAGGCGGAGGCAGAAAGGACAGGTGCCCCAGGGGTTCAGTCCCGGGAACTGGGCTTCCTGACTCTGAGCCCCTCCGTCGGGTCCTCTGTCGTCTGTGTCCCATGACCAGGTACGTCATCAGCAGTCTGGAACTCCTTGTGGCCGAGGATTACATGATCGTGTACCTGAATGGTGCCACGCCTCGGCGGAGGATGCCCGGCATCGGCTGGCTGAAGAAGTGTTACCAGATGATTGATAGGAGGTGAGTGGGTGGGGCTGGGGGACCTCCTCCTCGGGATGCAAGGGGTCCTGAGGTCCCTCTGAAAGATGTGTAGTGGTCAGCTGGGGCAGCTGTAACAAAGCACCAGACTGGGTGGCTTGAACAATAGATATGTGTTGTCTCCTAGCTCTGGGGGCTAGAAGTCCGAGATCAAGGTGTCTGCAGGGTTGGTTCTTTCTGGGGCCGTGAGGGAGAATCTCCCCTGTGGACACTTGTGTGCAAATGTCCCCTTTTTATAAGGACGCCAGTCATAGTGGATTAGGGGCCCACCCTACTCCTATATGACCTCACCTTAACTAATTTCTCCTACAATGACCCTCTTCCCAAATAAGGGGGCTGCAATTCAACATGCCCATAATAGGTGCTCAGAACCATGGGACCCCAGAAAAGTCTTTCAGAAATGGGAGACGGTGTGGCCACGAAGTCAAATGCTCAGACTCTAAATTAAGAGAGATTGGAGACCAGACATCAGCTCTGCCACCTGCAAACTCTGCGAGGGGGCTTAGCTTTACTGAGATTCCACCTCCTCCCTGCCAATGGAGATAAGCATAGCACCTCCTGGGCACAGAGAGAAGGTAACACCGGTTAACTGCTCCCTCCCCGGGGCTTTCCCAAGGAGCCCATCTTGCTTCCTCTGTCTCCCCACACAGATTGCGGAAAAACCTGAAGTCCTTAATCATAGTCCACCCATCCTGGTTCATCCGCACCGTGCTGGCCATCTCCCGCCCTTTCATCAGGTAAGATCATGACCTGTGCCCGGATAGCCACCTGGGTTTTTGTGTGTCTTATTTTTTAATCTGCATTTTCCAGCTCCTCTCTGATGAATCTATATTGTTGCGTTAAACAGTTTAAAATCATATGTATTGTTATTTAATGACGAATATACATCAC